AGAGCGGTGACAGCAGTGTAACCTCTGTGGTAGACTACAAAGTCTACGAGCTACAGCGGCACCGCCACCTCCGCTGCTGCAAGACGCCACATTCTGTGATCGTGCGTCTGCCAGAGGGATGTGGTAGATTGTCAGGCATGATAATGAAGTTGAACAAGAGTCTGTATGGCCTTCAGCAGGCATCAAGGCAATGGCAGTAACACTTGGCGAGGTGTTTGATTTGTTTGGGTTTTATTCAGTATCTGGCGGATACGTGTGTGTTTCGGTTGATCGAGGAGGGAAGAGTGGTAGTGACTCTGGTAGTACATGTGGATGACATATTTTCGATTGGAGAGGAGGAGAGGTGTGACAATTTGTTAGGGACCACAACACCATGGTACCGGTGAAGAAGCTCGGTGACTTGAGGTGGTACTCTAGATGTTTTCATGAGAGGGATTGGGATGCAGGGACTTCGAATATCTCGCAGCAGACGTACGCTGAAGAGTTGGGGATGAAGTTTGGGGTAGNGACCAATTTGGTCGGGACCTCAACACCATGGTACCGGTGAAGAATCTTGGTGACTTGAGATGGTACTCTGGATGTTGTTATGAGAGAGATTGGGATGCAGGGACTTTGAAGATCTCGCAGCAGACGTACGCTGAAGAGTTGGGGATGAAGTTTGGGGTAGAGTACGGAAGGAAATACCTCTTCCTTTAGAGTTGAAGCTTTCAGAGTTTGACCAGGATGAGGAAGTGGTATCATAGCCTTTCGCGAGCTGATAGGATCACTGATGTGGCTGGCAACGCAAACGAGGCCAGATATCGCGAATGCAGTAAGAGCGGTATCACGGTACTATGATTCTCCCAACGAAGTTCGTTGGAGAGCAGGTCTTGGTATTTTGGGGTATGTACGTGGTAAGGACTAGTAACTTGGGGATTACATTCAGTAGGTGTAGTGCAGCAGGGTTGAGCATGGAGGTGTTCGCAGACGCAGACTACGCAAGCAAGGCTGCCGGTAGGAAGTCTGTGTCAGGAGGATTGGTGATGTGTGGGGGGGGAATGTATTTCTGGGTTTTCAAGGACGCAGAAGCGCGTTTCGTTGAGCACGACAGAGGCAGAGTATGTCTCCCTTGCGGATGTGAGGAAGTGTTGTTTCTGAGGCAGGTATGGCGTTTCATGTTGCCAGAAGCAGGTATGCCGTGTATTCCGGTGTTCGAGGATAACCAAGGGGCTATTCAGTTGGCGTAGAACCCGGGTAGCAACAGTAACTCGACGCACATCGACGTAAGGCACCACTTTATCAGGGAACTGGTAGGCAGGAAAGGAGATTTCGAATTTTCACGTGGAATCAGCGTATCAACATGCTGACTTCCTCACGGAGGCACTTCACGTCGGAGATTTTGAGTTTCATCGTAATTTCGTGATGAGTGTGGGACAGGAACGGTAGGTTTGGATTTATTTGTGTTTGATCAAAGAACTAGGGGGGCATTGTTTTACATTTTTGCCTATGGTGTTCTCAATGAATGGTGCTCTAGGATGGGGGGCAATTGGATCGCTATGATTATCGAAAAACTACAACTGGAATGGTCGGGGATGGAAATATATTTCTAGCCGAGAAGGCTATTGTTGCAGATTCGAGTTGTGTTTTCGATTATCCTCTTGTGTTTTGGAGTTACTGAAATATCATGAAGACATGGCATAGTCACAAGCTGGGGGACTGATAGATATACTTGTAGCAATGCCAAGTGGTTGGTGCTGGATGTTCCCGTGGAATGAGGTAGAGCGGAATACCGGGTGACNATTGTTGCAGATTCGAGTTGTGTTTTCGATTATCCTCTTGTGTTTTGGAGTTACTGAAATATCATGAAGACATGGCATAGTCACAAGCTGGGGGACTGATAGATATACTTGTAGCAATGCCAAGTGGTTGGTGCTGGATGTTCCCGTGGAATGAGGTAGAGCGGAATACCGGGTGACATGTATTTGTGGTACGTAGAACGGATTCCAGGGATGTACAAGGTACCCCTGTTGTATACGACGTCGCCCCCTCAACGGGGCTTGTGTGTGTATATGGATGCAACTAATCACAACAAGTTCTTCTCCTCGGCGCAAGCCCGCCGAGTTGCCGATACCCTATTCAACACATGTCTTGCGACAAGCTACCNCGTGGAATGAGGTAGAGCGGAATACCGGGTGACATGTATTTGTGGTACGTAGAACGGATTCCAGGGATGTACAAGGTACCCCTGTTGTATACGACGTCGCCCCCTCAACGGGGCTTGTGTGTGTATATGGATGCAACTAATCACAACAAGTTCTTCTCCTCGGCGCAAGCCCGCCGAGTTGCCGATACCCTATTCAACACATGTCTTGCGACAAGCTACCCCCAGTTCGGATTATCCTAACATCGCTGTTTTCGTGTTGGCAGGCGTGCTAAGAAACTGGCGTTGCCCTGAACGCCAGAGGGCGCGGGGTCCAGCTGACACGGAAGGAGTGCTTCTCGCAGGCGTGTCGTGCAATTTGGCCCGGCGAGGCCTCCTGCCGGAGACCGTCGTCAACGCGCTGCATGCATCGCCGCCGTACAATCTTGAGTGGTTTCAGTTATTGTAGCGAACGGGGGTGGAAGGCGGGGGGACGCGCCGCGATAGCGCTGTGGAATGACATTCAAATGATGAAACCGGAGGTCGACAAGTAGAAGAAGTTGTTTTCTTGCTTTTTGTGACCGTGGAGAGAGATGAAACCGGGCAGAAGTTTATCAGTTTGTGCAACGCGCGACACCTCGGGAAAAACGGGTGCCCGCCTTGTGCTTTTTGTGCTTTTGAGAGGCATCCCTGATTTGCCATGCTGACAGCCTGACAGAAGCCTGGAAAGCATAGGGAACCGTATTACTGGTAATTTTTGTATTCATTCTCGGAACGGAAAGCGCAACCGCTGACCTTGCAGTGTCTTCTATGTTATATGTACAACATATCGACTGAGCTAAACAGTCAGCGCTGACTGTTTAGCTCAGTCGATGTGTTGTACATCTAACAAAAGTACAACCAGGGTCTGAACAGTTGTTAGGCTGTCTGACTCTGGTTTTCCCCCAGGGTTGTAATCTCTGTAATCAGCGCTGCCCCAAGCGGTTCATCGGCTCACAGGCGGGGATATATATGTGTCTTCATCGTTGACGACTGGTGATGTGTACCATGACTTTCAGGTGTGTATCCCAGACTTTTTTCTCTTTCCTGAGAAAAGGCGTCAAGATGGCTCCCAGAGGGATTCGAACCCTGGTTGTACTTTTGTTGGATGTACAACATATCCACTGAGCTAAACAGTAACTTTTGTTAGATGAACTAGACCCCGAGTGGGGGGAGTTTTTTCCGCGCGCACCATCACAACAGCATAACCCGTGCTGCGGAAAGTACCTGCAGTAGGCTGGGTCGTGCGCCCCCCGTGAATATGTGTTGCTTTTGTTTTGGTACACACGCCCGAAATGTTGTTGATGCGATGTTGTTGATGCGAATCGTTAGTGTCAGCACTACGTAGTATGCGTCAATATGAAGGAGCAGAAAAAAATGCCCACCACTCAGAACACAGCAGCAGCAGAATATTTGAACTAGCACGCGAGTTGTCGCCGATCGCGAGCCCCTCCTCACTACGCC